GGGAGATAAAAGGGATGATAATAAAATTGACAGTTTAGGGTGTGTTTGTTTGAAGTGGAAACACTTGGGAGGGGGGAAGCTTCTGAAAGTGCAAAAAAAGTTTCTAAGGTTTCCGACTCCTTAGTTTGTTTCAACAAAAATTTTTAAGAAAAGTTTTCTTTGAAGTAGGGAAAACACCATTTTTAGATAAAAATTAATTTCTCTCCAAAATTAGGAAAATTGGGCGGAAAAACATTGAAAGATGAGTTTTAACATTTAAATAATGAAATTGTTGATGATGGCTAGCTAAACAGTCAAATATTTCGAGGGTGAGATTGATGAGGGGTCGCTCACTTCTCCGAATATCTGGTTTTGAGTAGAGCCGCTTTCAGCCTGCACAAAGTAGAAACTCGTGAGAGGACGGGGCTTGGTTTCCCCGTTGTACCTCAGACGATCAAGTCAGCTAGTGAACTTGAATGAGAAAAATGAAGAACTGTGAGAATTCTTGTGTGTAATGCAGTATAATTAGCAGATATTCAAGAGTCGGAATTCAGATTTCAGAAATCTGAATTCTCCTCTGTAAAAGATCTAAAAGTCCATTTTGTTGAGAATTGTACCTCTATTTATAGTAGTGATGGAAGGGTAGTCACTTCGGCTGAACATAGGAAGGCGGTGAAAAAGTATGGGCTGATAGCTACGTCAGCACCTACGTTACACGTGTCGGTCCGCGAGTGGTGGGGAGATCACCTCATCATTAAATGGGAAGCGATCAGAGGCATGGCGGTGTTGACATGGTCTGATGAGTCATGAAGACTATCGGGGCTAGAGGCATGATGGCGCCTACCACGCATTAATTGCGACGTCGACGTGCTGTCAGTGTTGAGAGGCTCGAGGCTGAAGTCGTCCTATAGCTTCGCCGAGAAGTAACGCCTTTCGAGTCGACCTCACGAGGCGTTGAATATCTGGTCGAGTGGGCTTGTTGCGAGTCGTCTTCGACAAGATGATCAACTAGTACCGTCATTCGAGTCGACATGAGGAGATGTCAACTCGACGGGTCGGCTACGTCAAGATCCTTGGCTGTTTGACCATCAATTTGGCTTGAGTGGTGCATGAAGAGGGACACCTGTCCGTAGCTGGCAAAGATCGTGTACTTTGACGACTGAAAACACGATAATAGAAATTATGTGAGAAGCTGTTAAAATATAATAGTTAAGTAACGGTTGAAAAGACTTACATCTCAAATTTATCATATCATGATGTTCTTGAGACTAAACATTATGAACATGTGCATGGGAGTATATCCTCCGTTATTGTCGACATTTTTGCCCTTAGCATCTTTGATGAACATAAGTCCAAGTACTCGGGACCCCGATGTTTGTTTAGCAGACTTCAATTTTGTGTGAAAAAATTAAAGTATAACTGTAATGGGTTTATTCCAAAAAAAAAAGGTTATGGGAAACTGCCTTTATAGTTTATACTCATAGTAACAACCCTACCTCTCCCGTTACCATCTAGTGAGTTTCAGCTGTGGGCCCTGTTAAAGCAATTTTCTTGGTGCTATATATTGATTGTTTAGTAAGTAAAAATGAATATACTCACTTAGTGGTAAGTATATTGTATATTGTTATAAGAAAGGCTGTGATGATTTCATTAAGATACGAAATAATAATAATAAAAGTATATTGTTATAAGAAATTCTAATTGGACCGTTGTAAGTACTAGTAGTATATTAATTGTAATTAAAGAGACTGTTACCCACTTACCATCTTTTAAGTCAAGATTTTGTAACTGGTGCTACATATTGATGTTTATCACTTGAGACCGGACCAATCAAATGCCCACAACTTTATAAACCCAAACTCCACGCAACTTATGATTTTTAAGCTAAATTAAAATAAAGAATAGGACATAGGAGAAGTTTTAAGGTGAAAAATGTGTCTAGGTCCCCAAAAAATAAAGGGGATGTGTCCCAGCCCCTCAATGTTTTTCTCTTATTCTTTAACCCCAAAAACCCAAAAAAATGTGTTCAGTCCCCTTTACACACTCTCCCAAGAATTCATCCCAAAACATTATGTAAATACCACTTCCCTTATCTTCTTCCTCTTCTTCTTCTCCTCTGTGGCTTTCTCATCCTCCTCTCAATCTCCTCCCCCTCCCCTCCCTCTCCCAGTGGTGGTCCTCCACCGTCGCCCTCTACTTCGACCAGACCCAACGCCAACCTCACCCGCGGCCGGGACCTCACCCGCCTCTCCATATCCAGTAGGACATCGCCGACTCCATCGCCTCCCGCCACCTCCCTGTCGACCACCACCGCGGCGTCTACCTCGCGGAGATGTCGACGAACCCGCTAATCATAGGTGAAATTATTGTACATGCTTATTGTGTGCCTTTTGAGGAATTGTATTATGAGTTTCACTCAGTTTATGCTTAGGGTTTGGTATCTCTCTGTTGTTTTCCATGTTTTTCTGATCAACAATGTACAAAGGATCTGGGGAGTATGGACGGGATAAAGGATTTAATATAAATTTAATTGACTACTGTAAACAACTTATGGTAAAGGATCATGGGTAAAATCAAGTTTATATGAAACTATTCTATATGTATAGCTTATGAATCTTTTGGCATGCATTCAATCTGGTACATTAAACATCATGAAAGCTTTGTAATGACTTCTCTTTTAAAATTGTTTATTTCTTTAAAATGACATGTATTTGTGGTAGTGAGTGATTGGTGAAACATTTATGGTTTCATGTTGTCATTGCTGTGATTTATTCTTGCTTTTTTATGATTGATGTTTATTGTAGCTTCCTGAAGACCGGTCCATGTTCATGAAGTGGTTGGTTGAGGATATGTCCTTGCCTTCTATTAGGAATTAGTATCTTGTTGAAACTTTGTTTCTTTCATAGATTTTGAAGTCATGATTTTTGTTTCCTTCATTATGCACTTGAACCATGACAAAGAATTCTTCTATTAACGTTTGTTTCTTATGTAGTGACTTTTTTTTGTTTCAAGTTTTGAGATACCTATTAATAGTTTACTTGCAAGTGTCGCGCCTTTTACATTGTAGACATTTTTCCTACTCAGTTTTTTCTATGTATTTTAAGAAGGTTGTGGATGACTTGTGTTGTCTTATTGCTCATTTGCATCAACATAGATCAAGCAAATAAGCAACAAGTTCATGGGTTGCATAACATAGTATATGCCCGTTAGCTACTCTGATATGGATGTAGGCCAGCTTTTGTGTGGAAGAACACCTATATTTAAATGTTTGTTTTGACGCAGAAACCAGAAAGACAAATCAAGCTCTTTCTAGGCTCCATCCTCATTCAAATTCCTTCTACATGCCCAAGACAACCTATCTACCAGAATAATCTGCATATCAACTTCTACCATTCATTCCTGGCATCATTCATTCTCATTACATGATAGACTGTAAATTGATGGTTTAAGATAAGATTGATTAATAGGAATATTTTAAAATTTGTTCATTGTAAAATTACACAGGTTGTGGAAGTTTTCTCTTCTTCCGTAATTTCGTATGTGTGTGAGTGTTGGTGGTTTTCCTGAGCTCAAAGAAACTACGTTTAGATTTGTGATGAGGTCTATCTGCACGTAGTTGTACTAGTTTATGATTATTTATTGCGATTATATGTGAAATGTATTGTGGCTGTCATGTGAATATGTACAAGTTCATTCAAATAGAACTTGATGTGCATAGAATATGTACAAGTTCATTCAAATAGAACTTGATGTGCATAATAAACTGAAGATTATATATAAATTATGTGTATCAAAATTCATTCAAATAGAACTTGATGTGCATAATAAACTGAAGATTATATATAAATTATGTGTATCAAAACCTATATATTATGGTACATAATATGTACATAATCTTGAGGTTATTGTGAAAATAATATATACATATTATATACATAATCTTCAAGTTACGATACACTATTAAATCTCATAATACGTTAACTTTCACTGTTACATGTTAACTTTCATAATAATATGTTAGCTTTCTTCATAAATTATGTTAACTTTCATCATTATATGTTAACTCTTATCGTAGCATGTTAACTTTTAGTTGAACATGTTAACTTTTATCATAATATGTTAACTTTCACTGTTACATGTTAACTTTCATAATAATAAGTTAACTTTCTTCATAACAAGTTTTTTTGAACTAAAATTCGATGTGTTTGAAAGACTAAAAGTCCCTCAAGATGATTTATCATTGATATATAAATTATTGATATATACAAACCATAAGTGCGTGAATCC